GGGGAGCACAGGGGGTCCCCGGGGGGGAGCACTGGGGGTCCCTGGGGGGGGGAGCACTGGGGGCCCTGGGGGAGCACTGGGGGTCCCTGGGGGGAGCACTGGGGGTCCCTGGGGGGAGCACTGGGGGTCCCTGGGGGAAGCACTGGGGGTCCCCGGGAGGGGGGAGCACTGGGGGTCCCCGGGGGGGGAGCACTGGGGTCCCCGGTGAGGAGCACTGGGAGGTCCCCGGGGGGAGCACTGGGGGCCCGGGGGAAGAACTGGGGGTCCCCGGGGTTGGAGCACTGGGGGTCCCCAGGGGGAGCACTTGGGGTTCCTGTTGGAGCACTGGGGGGTCCCCGAGGGAGCACTGGGGGTCCCCGGAGGGAGCACTGGGGGGTCCCCGGGGGTGGAGCACTGGGGGTCCCCGGGGGTGGAGCACTTGGGGTCCCCGGGGGTGGAGCACTGGGGGTCCCCGGGGGGAGCACTTGGGGTCCCCGGGGGAGCACTGGGGGTCCCCGGGGGGAGCACTTGGGGTCCCCGGGGGGAGCACTGGAGGTGCCCGAGGGTCCCTGGGGGGAGCACTGGGGGTACCCGGGGGGAGGCGCACTGGGGGCCCCGGGGAGGAGCACTGGGGGTCCCCTGGGGGAGCACTGGGGGTCCCCGGGGGAGGAGCACTGGGGGTCCCCCGGGGGAGGAGCACTAGGGGTCCCCGGGGGGAGGAGCACTGGGAGTCCCCGGGGGGAGCACTGGGGGTCCCCGGGGGGAGCAGCACTGGGGGGGACACTGGAGGTCCCCGGGGGAGCACTGGAGGTCCCCGGGGGGAGCACTGGGGGTCCCCGGGGGGAGCACTAGGGGTCCCCGGGGAGGAGCACTGGGGGTCCCCGGGGGGAGGAGCACTAGGGGTCCCCGGGGGGAGGAGCACTGGGGGTCCCCGGGGGGAGCACTGGGGGTCCCCGGGGGTGGAGCAATGGAGGTCCCCGGGGGGTGGAGCACTGGGGATCCCCAGGGGGGTAGCACTGGGGGGTCCCCTGGGGGAGCACTGGGGGTCCCCGGGGGAGGAGCACTGGGGGTCCCCGAGGGGAGCACTGAGGGTCCCCGGGGGGAGCACTGGGGGTCCCCGGGGGGAGGAGCACTGGGGGTCCCCGGGGGAGCACTGGGGGTCCCCGGGGGAGCACTGGGGGTCACTGGGGGTCCCCGGGGGGAGCACTGGGGGTCCCCGGGGGAGGAGCACTGGGGGTCCCCGGGGGGAGCACTGAGGGGGGGGAGCACTCCCCGGGGGGAGGAGCACTCGGGGTCCCCGGGGAGCACTCGGGGGGAGCACTGGGGGTCCCGGGGGGAGCACTGGGGGTTCCCGGGGGGAGGAGCACTGGGGGTCCCCGGGGGGGGAGCACTGGGGGTCCCCGGGGGGAGCACTAGGGGTCCCCGGGGGGAGCACTGGGGGTCCCCGGGGGGGAGCACTGGGGGTCCCCGGGGGGGAGCACTGGGGGTCCCGGGGGGAGGAGCACTGGGGGTCCCCGGGGGGAGGAGCACTGGGGGTCCCCGGGGGGAGGAGCACTGGGGGTCCCCGGGGGGAGGAGCACTGGGGGTCCCCGGGGGGAGGAGCACTGGGGGTCCCCGGGGGGAGGAGCACTGGGGGTCCCCGGGGGGAGGAGCACTCGGGGTCCCCGGGGGGAGGAGCACTGGGGGTCCCCGGGGGTCGGGGTCCCTGGGGGGAGCACTCGGGGTCCCCGGGGGGAGGAGCACTCGGGGTCCCACTCGGGGTCCCCGGGGGGAGGAGCACTCGGGGTCCCCGGGGAGGAGCACTGGGGGTCCCTGGGGGGAGCACTCGGGGTCCCCGGGGGGAGGAGCACTGGGGGGTCCCGGGGGGAGGAGCACTCGGGGTCCCCGGGGAGGAGCACTGGGGGTCCCTGGGGGAGGAGCACTGGGGGTCCCCGGGGGGAGGAGCACTGGGGGTCCCCGGGGGGAGGAGCACTGGGGGTCCCCGGGGGGAGGAGCACTCGGGGTCCCCGGGGGGAGCACTCGGGGTCCCCGGGGGGAGGAGCACTCGGGGTCCCCGGGGGGAGGAGCACTCGGGGTCCCCGGGGGGAGGAGCACTCGGGGTCCCCGGGGGGAGGAGCACTCGGGGTCCCCGGGGAGGAGCACTGGGGGTCCCTGGGGGGAGCACTCGGGGTCCCCGGGGGGAGGAGCACTCGGGGTCCCCGGGGGGAGGAGCACTCGGGGTCCCCGGGGAGGAGCACTGGGGGTCCCTGGGGGGAGCACTCGGGGTCCCCGGGGGGAGGAGCACTCGGGGTCCCCGGGGAGGAGCACTGGGGGTCCCTGGGGGGAGCACTCGGGGTCCCCGGGGGGAGGAGCACTCGGGGTCCCCGGGGAGGAGCACTGGGGGTCCCTGGGGGGAGCACTCGGGGTCCCCGGGGGGAGCACTGGGGGTCCCCGGGGGAGCACTGGGGGTCCCCGGGGGGAGGAGCACTGGGGGGTCCCCGGGGTGGACCTCACACCGGGGGTAACAAGAGTGTACAAGCAGGTGGACAGTCACTAGGAAGCTAGACAGAACCATTGGGGAGGGTCGAGGGAGGTGCAAGATAGTGATTCACTCTCCGACCTGTCCTCTTACACATTACGTCTTGGCCCTTTACCCGTATGGCTGATATGGACGTACAGTAATGGACCTAATTTGGAAATTAACAAAAAGTTAAAATAAATTTGGGATTTTTTTCCAATATCTTATGGAGAAATGCGATAAATGAAAAATGAATCGACTTCAATCAAACTTTTTTGACTAGTTGTATATAAAATTTGGTTCAACTGGCCCAATTCTCAGCATTGTAGCACAAATAGGAAGGGAGAAAACATATATTGAATTATGTGTCAAAAATTTTCCAAAATGGTCAAAATTTAACATCAAACAAAAGTGTCAACTGAAATCATGTCTATGACTCTAAGCTATCACAATAGCATATAATAAGGTATTTTATTATTCAGTTTTATACCCCCAAAATTTTTCAAACAAAAAAAAATATAGATTTTTTTCTCAATTTTTTTCATATTTTTTATCAGCCGATTTGCATAAAACTTGTACACCTTACAGAACGTAAGCCTATCTGTAAAGATGTAAATTTTGGAGGAAATTGGTTGAAGTCAACTTCAACCACAGGTGGCAGAGTGTTGGATCTTATTTATTGTCAAGTAAAATAAAATTGCATCTCCTCTTTCATTTTTTTTTCAATTTACATGAAATTTACACCTTATATGTAGTCTTGACGTCTATACAATAATGCTAAAACACTTTATTCCTAAATTCATTTATTGATTTTATAAATATTTGCAAATATAAAATATTGGCATATATTTTTGGGGGAACTTTGACTACTTGTATCAGTAAAATTAAACATATTTTGGATAATCCTTTTTAGCCAAATCCTTTATAATATTCTAATATAATATATGAGTGTCATAGAAATGATGTCATTTGAAACTTGTGGTTGTAGTTAATTGGGTCTTCTAGAAGGTTAGGAGGGCAGGAAATTCTCATAAAGTTTCAAAACGTGATGAAAAAAGTTAATTAAAAGTTTCCTCTCCAAATCCTAACCGAGTAAGCCAGAAGACTCAACAGAAAACGGGACAGTACATCAGTTTCGAAAGCCGATTTCATTTCAAATTAAGTCCATTTTTGGCCATAGTGCGCATACGAGCGAAAAGCGACGTTATTTATAAGAGGACGGGTGTACTATGCGCGCTATGGCCAAAATTTTCATTTTCAAATTACGTCCATTTTCAGCCATACGACCAAATTCTGACGTAATTTGTAAGCGGACGGGATGACCTACCAGGAGGATAGAGGGACCATCACCTACCAGGAGGGTAGAGGAACCATCACCTACCAGGAGGGTAGAGGAACCATCACCTACCAGGAGGGTAGAGGGACCATCACCTACCAGGAGGGTAGGGGGACCATCACCTACCAGGAGGGTAGGGGGACCATCACCTACCAGGAGGGTAGAGGACCATCACCTACCAGGAGGGTAGAGGACCATCACCTACCAGGAGGGTAGGGGGACCATCACCTACCAGGAGGGTAGGGGGACCATCACCTACCAGGAGGGTAGAGGGACCATCACCTACCAGGAGGGTAGGGGGACCATCACCTACCAGGAGGGTAGAGGGGACCATCACCTACCAGGAGGGTAGAGGGGACCATCACCTACCAGGAGGGTAGAGGACCATCACCTACCAGGAGGGTAGGGGACCATCACCTACCAGGAGGGTAGAGGGACCATCACCTACCAGGAGGGTAGAGGGACCATCACCTACCAGGAGGGTAGAGGGACCATCACCTACCAGGAGGGTAGAGGGACCATCACCTACCAGGAGGGTAGAGGGACCATCACCTACCAGGAGGGTAGAGGGGGACCATCACCTACCAGGAGGGTAGAGGAACCATCACCTACCAGGAGGGTAGAGGGACCATCACCTACCAGGAGGGTAGGGGGACCATCACCTACCAGGGGGTAGGGGGACCATCACCAACCACCATGTAGGTGTAAGGGCGGAGGACGACCAAGGTGTTGGTAAGGTGACAGGGACCAACCCGTAGGTAAGGTCATGGGGAACCTACAGACCGGCCAAGTGGTGAACCATCCGGTAAGTTATGGGGAGGGGAGGGGGAGAGGAGGGAGGCCAGTAAGTTAGGGGGAGGGGAGGGGGGGAGAGGAGGGAGGCCAACCAGTAAGTTATGGGGGGGGGGGGGAGGGGGGAGGCCAACCAGTAAGTTAGGGGGAGGGGAGGGGGGGAGAGGAGGGAGGCCAACCAGTAAGTTAGGGGGAGGGGAGGGGGAGTGGAGGGAGGCCAACCAGTAAGTTAGGGGGAGAAAAAAAGAGGGACGGTGGGTCAGGGAGAAAATGGCGCCACCACCAACTAAGAGAACATTTCCGTATTAACACGAAGTAAAGACAGCAACACCGAAAATGTTAGTGGGAAAAGTCAACATAGGTGGAGGGAAGTAAGATATTACTGGTGGAACACTCATGGCATCAAGAACAGTCAAGAGGGACGCTGTATCGCCAGCACTGATCCACACAGTCCTCATGGCATCAAGAACAGTCAAGAGGGACGCTGTATCGCCAGCACTGATCCACACAGTCCTCATGGCATCAAGAACAGTCAAGAGGGACGCTGTATCGCCAGCACTGATCCACACAGTCCTCATGGCATCAAGAACAGTCAAGAGGGACGCTGTATCGCCAGCACTGATCCACACAGTCCTCATGACATCAAGAACAGTCAAGAGGGACGCTGTATCGCCAGCACTGATCCACACAGTCCTCATGACATCAAGAACAGTCGAGAGAGACGCTGTATCGCCAGCAGTGATCCACACAGTCCTCATGACATCAAGAACAGTCAAGAGAGACGCTGTATCGCCAGCACTGATCCACACAGTCCTCATGGCATCAAGAACAGTCAAGAGGGACGCTGTATCGCCAGCACTGATCCACACAGTCCTCATGACATCAAGAACAGTCAAGAGAGACGCTGTATCGCCAGCAGTGATCCACACAGTCCTCATGACATCAAGAACAGTCAAGACAGACGCTGTATCGCCAGCAGTGATCCACACAGTCCTCATGACATCAAGAACAGTCAAGAGAGACGCTGTATCGCCAGCACTGATCCACACAGTCCTCATGACATCAAGAACAGTCAAGAGGGACGCTGTATCGCCAGCACTGATCCACACAGTCCTCATGACATCAAGAACAGTCGAGAGAGACGCTGTATCGCCAGCACTGATCCACACAGTCCTCATGACATCAAGAACAGTCAAGAGAGACACTGTATCGCCAGCACTGATCCACACAGTCCTCATGACATCAAGAACAGTCAAGAGAGACGCTGTATCGCCAGCACTGATCCACACAGTCCTCATGACATCAAGAACAGTCAAGAGGGACGCTGTATCGCCAGCACTGATCCACACAGTCCTCATGACATCAAGAACAGTCAAGAGGGACGCTGTATCGCCAGCACTGATCCACACAGTCCTCATGGCATCAAGAACAGTCAAGAGAGACGCTGTATCGCCAGCACTGATCCACACAGTCCTCATGGCATCAAGAACAGTCAAGAGGGACGCTGTATCGCCAGCACTGATCCACACAGTCCTCATGATATCAAGAACAGTCAAGAGGGACGCTGTATCGCCAGCAGTGATCCACACAGTCCTCATGACATCAAGAACAGTCAAGAGGGACGCTGTATCGCCAGCACTGATCCACACAGTCCTCATGACATCAAGAACAGTCAAGAGGGACGCTGTATCGCCAGCACTGATCCACACAGTCCTCATGGCATCAAGAACAGTCAAGAGAGACGCTGTATCGCCAGCACTGATCCACACAGTCCTCATGACATCAAGGACCGATACAGGTGGACAAATAGTAACATTATAATATGAGTGATACGCTAAGAAGAGAAGAGAGGTTGCGAGGAGTCTCTAATGAAAGGAAAAGGTGAAAGGTCAACAAGTCCTGAGGAAAGTGAAGGTTTAATACCAGAGCCTCGGGCGCGAGATGAAAGGTCAGCATGGTGTAACGCAAGAGTTAGTGAGGCACCAGTAGTGAATGGTGAAGTGTAATGTTGGTGAATGGTGAGGCACCAGTGGTGATGTTGGTGAATGGTGAGGCACCAGTAGTGATGTGGGTGAATGGTGAGGCACCAGTAGTGATGTGGGTGAATGGTGAAGTGTAATGTTGGTGAATGGTGAGGCACCAGTAGTGATGTTGTGAATGGTGAGGCACCAGTAGTGATGTGGGTGAATGGTGAGACACCAGTGGTAATGTTGGTGAATGGTGAGGCACCAGTGGTAATGTTGGTGAATGGTGAGGCACCAGTGGTAATGTTGGTGAATGGTGAGTCACCAGTGGTAATGTTGGTGAATGGTGAAGTGTAATGTTGGTGAATGGTGAGGCACCAGTAGTGATGTGGGTGAATGGTGAGTCACCAGTGGTAATGTTGGTGAATGGTGAAGTGTAATGTTGGTGAATGGTGAGGCACCAGTGGTAATGTTGGTGAATGGTGAGTCACCAGTGGTAATGTTGGTGAATGGTGAGTCACCAGTGGTAATGTTGGTGAATGGTGAGGCACCAGTAGTGATGTGGGTGAAGTGTAATGTTGGTGAATGGTGAGTCACCAGTGGTAATGTTGGTGAATGGTGAAGTGTAATGTTGGTGAATGGTGAGGCACCAGTGGTAATGTTGGTGAATGGTGAGTCACCAGTGGTAATGTTGGTGGATGGTGAAGTGTAATGTTGGTGAATGGTGAGGCACCAGTAGTGATGTTGAAGTGAATGGTGAGGCACCAGTGGTAATGTTGGTGAATGGTGAAGTGTAATGTTGGTGAATGGTGAGGCACCAGTGGTAATATTGGTGAATGGTGAGTCACCAGTGGTAATGTTGGTGAATGGTGAAGTGTAATGTTGGTGAATGGTGAGGCACCAGTGGTAATGTTGGTGAATGGTGAGGCACCAGTAGTGATGTGGGTGAATGGTGAAGTGTAATGTTGGTGAATGGTGAGGCACCAGTGGTAATGTTGGTGAATGGTGAAGTGTAATGTTGGTGAATGGTGAGGCACCAGTGGTAATGTTGGTGAATGGTGAGTCACCAGTGGTAATGTTGGTGAATGGTGAAGTGTAATGTTGGTGAATGGTGAGGCACCAGTAGTGATGTGGGTGAATGGTGAGGCACCAGTAGTGATGTTGGTGAAGTGTAATGTTGGTGAATGGTGAGGCACCAGTAGTGATGTGGGTGAATGGTGAGGCACCAGTAGTGATGTTGGTGAATGGTGAGGCACCAGTAGTGATGTTGGTGAATGGTGAGGCACCAGTAGTGATATTGGTGAAGTGTAATGTTGGTGAATGGTGAGGCACCAGTAGTGATGTTGGTGAATGGTGAAGTGTAATGTTGGTGAATGGTGAGGCACCAGTAGTGATGTTGGTGAAGTGTAATGTTGGTGAATGGTGAGGCACCTGTAGTGATGTTGGTGAATGGTGAGGCACCAGTAGTGATATTGGTGAATGTGAAGTGTAATGTTGGTGAATGGTGAGGCACCAGTAGTAATGTTGGTGAATGGTGAAGTGTAATGTTGGTGAATGGTGAGGCACCAGTAGTGATGTTGGTGAAGTGTAATGTTGGTGAATGGTGAGGCACCTGTAGTGATGTTGGTGAATGGTGAGGCACCAGTAGTGATATTGGTGAAGTGTAATGTTGGTGAATGGTGAGGCACCAGTAGTGATGTTGGTGAATGGTGAAGTGTAATGTTGGTGAATGGTGAGGCACCTGTAGTGATGTTGGTGAATGGTGAGGCACCAGTAGTGATGTTGGTGAATGGTGAGACACCAGTAGTAATGTTGATGAATGGTGAGACACCAGTAGTGATGTTGGTGAATGGTGAGGCACCAGTAGTGATGTTGGTGAATGGTGAGGCACCAGTAGTGATGTTGGTGAATGGTGAAGTGTAATGTTGGTGAATGGTGAGGCACCAGTAGTGATGTTGGTGAATGGTGAGACACCAGTAGTAATGCTGGTGAATGGTGAGGCAGCAGTGGTAATGCTGGTGAATGGTGAGGCAGCAGTGGTGATGTTGGATGGTGAAAGGTGAGTAATCACAGGGCCTCCGTCTAGGAGCGAGACACAGTGTTAAGAAATACATACACGCTGCTCTTCGCCTGGTGAGGATGGCGTCACCTACGACATACTTAATGCACTGTGTGAAGTGTCTGGGACTCTCATTCCTAAGTGGAGTGTTGCCCACACAATGGAAACACGCAATAATTGTCCCCATACCGAAGCCCAATGACCTTGGCAATTATAGACCTATCAGTCTCTTGCAAGATGCTTGAAAGGATCGTCCTAAACCGACTGTTGCACAAAATAGGCAGGTTAGGGGAGGGGGTCAATGGATTTGTTAAAGGACGGAGCACAGCAAACTGTATAGTTAATTACTTGGCTACAGCTTTCCAATTGACAAGAAAAGTGCTATGGAGATTGACAAAACTATTTTTAGATATGTATGGTATGGTAGATACCAGCCAATTAAACGGACTACTCTATGTAAAGGTAAGAAAAACGGTGGAATAGGAATACTGAATGTGTACCATAAGTCATTGACAATCTTATGTGTTACCTTTAGAAAGGAGATAATGCAAAGGAATAGTGTAAATGTGCTAGGACATTACTTTTGTACACTACGTGTTAGCTACTTGATACATATGCCAGAGTATACTGACCTTGATACATATGCCAGAGTATACTGACCTTGATACATATGCCAGAGTATACTGACCTTGATACATATGCCAGAGTATACTGACCTTGTCTTTATTTCACCTCACTTTTATTCATGTACAATTGATGTTCTCAGGCGGATTAGTAATATTGAAGTTTTTTTTTAATGATGAACAGTAAACAAGTGTATGATGTTATACTCCCAAATATAGTTGCTGGAGTAGAGGAGGCATATCCACTCTTTAGCTGGCAAGTAATATGCGCAAACCTGCATGTTAAATTTATTGCCCCAAAACAACGTGATACCTGGTTGATGGGGTTCTGGGAGTTCTTCTACTCCCCAAGCCCGGCCCGAGGCCAGGCTTGACTTGTGAGAGTTTGGTCCACTAGGCTGTTGCTTGGAGCGGCCCGCAGGCCCACATACCCACCACAGCCCGGTTGGTCCGGCACTCCTTGGATGAATAAATCTATTTTCCTCTTGAAAATGTCCACGATTGTTCCGGCAAAATTTCTTATGCTTGCTGGGAGGGTGTTGAACAACCGCGGACCTCTGATGTTTATACAGTGTTCTCTGATTGTGCCTATGGCACCCCTGCTCTTCACTGGTTCTATTCTACATTTTCTTCCATATCGTTCACTCCAGTACGTTGTTCTTTTACTGTGTAGGTTTGGTACTTGGCCCTCCAGTATCTTCCAGGTGTATATTATTTGATATCTCTCTCGTCTTCTTTCTAGTGAGTACATTTGGAGGGCTTTGAGACAATCCCAATAATTTAGGTGCTTTATCGCGTCTATGCGAGCCGTATATGTTCTCTGTATTCCCTCTATTTCAGCAATCTCTCCTGCTCTGAAGGGGGAAGTGAGTACTGAGCAGTACTCGAGACGGGACAACACAAGTGACTTGAAGAGTACAACCATTGTGATGGGATCCCTGGATTTGAAAGTTCTCGTAATCCATCCTATCATTTTTCTGGCTGTCGCAATATTTGCTTGGTTATGCTCCTTAAACGTTAGGTCGTCAGACATTATTATTCCCAAATCCTTTACATGCTGTTTTCCTACTATGGGTACATTTGATTGTGTTTTGTACTCTGTATTATGTTTAAGGTCCTCATTTTTACCGTACCTGAGTACCTGGAATTTATCACTGATAAACATCATGTTATTTTCTGATGCCCAGTCGAAAACTTTATTAATATCAGCTTGAAGTTTTTCAATGTCTTGAGCAGAGATAATTTTCATACTGATTTTTGTGTCATCTGCAAAGGATGATATGAAGCTGTGACTTGTATTTTTGTCTATAACTGATATGAGAATAAGGAAAAGCAGCGGTGCAAGGAGTGTACCCTGAGGTACAGAGCTTTTCACTGCACTTGGACTAGATTTTATATGGTTGACCGTTACTCGCTGAGTCCTGTTTGACAGAAAACTGAGTATCCAGCGTCCTACTTTACCGGTTATTCCCATTGACTTCATTTTGTGTGCTATCACGCCATGGTCACATTTATCGAAAGCCTTTGCGAAGTCCGTGTATATCACATCAGCATTCTGTTTTTCTTCTAATGTCTCAGTGACTGTCGTAGTGCTCAAGTAGCTGTGAGAGACACGATGTTCTTGCGAGGCAGGATCAAGTATAACATATGGGGTTTACGGCTCATGCTCGGTGATATGGAAAATTTATTTACTGAGAATTATATAAAATATATATAACTGTAATAATTTCCCCTGTAAATTAATGTAAATATAATCTCCAATATTGTAAATCATTTAAATAAAAATAAGTATAACATTTAGTGGTTTAAAGTTCATGTTCTGTGATAATGAAACGCTTGTTTACTGAGAATTATACTACTGTATATGTAATGTAGTATTGCCTTGTAAAACTTGTGTATATATGATTTATATTGTATTTTATTAAAGATAAAAAAAAATGACACGGCTAGGTACTCTGTTTTTGTTGACATCAAAGGAGCCTTCGACAAAGCACAGAGGATTGCGATCCTGGACGAGCTTGCATGCATGGGTGTCAAGGGGAGACTCATGAAATGGATTGAAGACTATCTCACAGGGAGGAAAGCTAAAGTCTGCTTCAATGGAGCAGTCTCAAGAACAATGAATATGGAACTCGGGACCCCCCAAGGTGGAGTCTAAAGCCACGCACTATTTAA